ACCCCCCCCCCCCCCCAAAGGTTGGATTAATAGTGTCCCATTTCCCTTTATGTATCTTATAAGGTGTTAGTTTTCCAACCCTCATTTTATTGTTTTATATTCATGTCTACTAGACATATTATTTCACAAGCTGTACAGCTGTCCACTCTATTAACTAAAACTCGGTTTCGACTGTTCTATCTTTGAGGATTGTTAGTTTGGTGAAGTAATTACATGTTTACATTTGCTATGACATAGGGTGGAATTCCTGTTTGGTGCATGGGATTCGAAAAAATTCAAGGCCAAGGGATAACAATTTTAGGAGGTAAATATTTATGTATGTTGTGTTTGGATTTTTCTTGGTTTCTAGAAAATTTGAAGTGATCTTTTACACCTTTTTTTACCACAAGAGACTGTAAATATCTTTTGAGTTGTTCTTACCTTGGCGAGTTTCGGAATGATTTTTCCATTTCTAGATTTTGGGTTGAAGGTGGTTTCTACTTCTTTTTCCTTCATTAATTTTTGAAGTACTTCTCGGTCTCACAATTGCATGTCTACATGCCTCTGTTGTTACGTTGTTATGAAACCTGTATCTTTTCTTTGGTTGTATAGTTTATATAACCTTGTTTATTAAATCCTTGAAAAAATGCAGACCTTGTGTTGAAAGACAAGATTGTTGTTTATGATTTGGCTAACCAACGGATTGGATGGGCAAATTACGACTGTAAGTCTTACAAACATTCACTAGTTTTGGTTCTATATTTCAAACTACTCTATAGGCATACATACCTTATATAACACTTTGTTCTGCTCCTAATGGGTTTGACATTTTAGAATGGAACCACTCAGCCACAAGTATGAAAGTTAGAAATATAACTGTCCTGTTATGCCCAATTGTCATCTATATATATATGCAGGCTCGACATCGGTAAATGTTTCTATAGCCATACCAAGGGGTAAGGGTGAATATGTAAATGCAGGACAGATTGATAACAACAGATCATCACACAAGGGCCCTTACAACCTGAAATTGGTCTCAGTTTTGGCTTTTGTGTTGCATATATTAACAGTGCTTGGCATCTATCTTGCTTTGTAAGTGTACATTTCAGGTCATAGTTTCCAGGTTGATAAATATCTCTGCTTCTATTAGCGGGTGTTTGGGGAGATTATGTCTTTTGCGGTCTAAAATGGATTCCAGAAGTGCTTTTAAGCAAAGTTAAGAATATTTGCTTTCCGCTTTTACTTGAAACTTTTGCCTTTTCAACAATCTATCACTCCCAAACACCCTCTTAGTTGCATACTTTTGTAATATCTGTGGCTGCATTTGAAGGCCAAACCAAACTTAATAGTATTCAAGCAATGCTTCGTTCTTAAGTTATGGAAGTGTTGCATTGGCAATGATTCATGTAATTGAAAGTGCATAATTGGGAATGTGACACCGGAACACATGACGTTAGAAAGGAATTTTTCTCATATTTGCACGAAGGTGTATCGGTTTATTACCACACACACAAACACACGCGCACACACGCACCCCCACCCGCACGCACTGGCATACGCACACGCATATATATATATATATATATATATATATATATATATATATATATATATATATATATATATATATATATATATATGGGCTGGTTCAAGTGAGAATGCACCTTGGTGAAAGAAATAAGAATGAAATCTAGCCTTTGGATCTGATGCATCGTGCGGCTCAGATTGCATTCAGCACTCAAATTTCGAGATAGTGCATTTTTAAAGGATTATGGTGCATCTCGACATGATGCATTTTCAAACCATCTTAGTGCACCTAATTTTGATGCAATTTTAACCCTTAGATCTCCTAATCTAATGCACTAGATTCATTCTTATTTCTTTCATTAGATTGCATTCTCACCTGAACCAAAATCAGGGGTTGGTTCATGTGAGAATGAACCTTGGTGAAAGAAATAAGAATGAATGTTATCCTTTAGATTGAGTGCATTGAACGGCTGTGATTGAATTAATCATTGATGAGTAGTCAAACTTTAAAATAGGTAGGTATTAAATTGGTACGAACTAATTGCCCCATTTTCTACTCTTAGGGGCATAAAGGTAATCATGCATCAATTTCCTTATACACCGTACAAACATTAATATTTAATAGGGAGCTGATTAAGACATTAATTTTTTTCTTTTAATTATTCTACTACATTATCTATTTTGAAATGATTTTTCGTACATAAGTTTGTCCTTGACAAATAATATGCTATTCAAAACCACTCGTTGAGATTTATCTGACGCACCAATATTAAATATAAAATTTTGATATTATATTTTCATATCTAAAAGTAAGAAAAGTAAAATTTATAAATACTATTTTTCATTATTATTTAACCATGTAAATAAATAATTATATACCGATATTTCAGGGTGTTACACACTATCTTAGTGCTACACTCATGTCCCAAATTAAGTCTCTGAATTTACTCAACAAATTTTTAAGAATAATGAATTTTATAGTTGAAAATGCATCTTATTTAAGAATTGTTTTATATCTCACTTTTTGGATTTATTTCGAAGAGACGCACTATGATATCTACATTTACACATATAATGTAAATGTACCGTAATGACCGATAAATGCACTATAATTTGACCATTAGATTTTATTTAATTTTTATTCTATTTATTTGTAAATTAGCGAAGAATGACTTATGAATGACTTTATATGCGATTAAAAAAACTGAGAATGCATTGTGC